GCCGACGACGACATTACGTTAACGAAGAAAAATTAATTTTGGTTTTGTGTGACAATGCGTATTACAGTGGTGTGCAAAAAAAATGGCAATCATTTAAATTACGTTTATTCAACAACCGTTACACCAATTAACATGTATTATGCATCATTTTAAAGCTGATACGCAGTATATTTTATTAAAAAAAATTAATATGATATTCGTTCACCATTTTTTTCAATAACCTCTTTACAACGTTGTGGCATTGAATTTACAAGATTAATTAGAAGGTTATTTGGTATTTTTTCCCATTCCTCACCCAAAAAACTCTCTAATTCGCTAAGATTTTTTGGCCTACGCAACTCTACATTTCTCTTAACAATTCCCCAAAGGTTTTCGATTGGATTTAGGTCTGGACTATTAGAAGGCCAATCCATGACTTCAGGGACATTATTATCAAGAAATTCTTTAGCAATACGGCTAGTATGCTTAGGGTCATTGTCCTGCTGCAGCCGCCATCTACCTCGAAACATACTGCGCACCTCCGGAATATGTTTTTCTAATATTTCTGTATAAAATTTCCCATCCATTATACGCCTAAAACAGAAGAGACTTGTTTTACCTTTTACACAAAAACCACCCCATGCGAATATTTTACTTCGGTCCTTTGGTATTGGGCGAATTGGCCTTGCATTTTTGTACCAGTGCTTTATCGTGTTACGGAATAATTGGAAGGAAGTTTCGTCACTAAATAAAGTTTTTTTCCAATCATCATCCTTATGTTTTTGGGCCCATTCGATACGTTTTTGCTTATGGACTTGTGTAAGCATTGGTGTAGCAAGTGGGAGTGCATTTCGGTATCCAAGACTAGTCAGGTGCCTTGAAACTGTTGACCGGGTAACATTTATACCAATATCCTTTAATTTGTTAGCAATAGATTTAGAAGAAAGTGTGGGTTGTCTTCGAATAAACTGTCCGATTGACCGGGAAGCTCTTGGGGTTATTTTTTTAATGCGTCCACTACCACTTTTACGTTTGACATCACCAGTCGCATTTATTTTTTTAAGGTTGTTATAAATTGTCCTAAGTGGAATCTTTGTTTTTGTATGGATTTCGGCAGCATTGCGTATTCCTTGCTCCCAGAAATGTAAAATTGTTTTTTGTTGCGTTTCTTGCTTCGAAGAAGTCATTTCAATGCTAAAAAAAATATGGTTTTTACTAGTACTTGGGAAAAGTTTCGTTCGGAAATAATAGTACAATCACAGGGCTTTTATTTGCATATTTATTTATGCATGTACGACCAAAATTGAGTTAGTTACACTTGATGATCAATTTTTAAAAAAATTGCCATTTTTTTTGCACACCACTGTATATAGATCTTCCGCCGTATCGAATGCAAACAAAACTTGTCTTTTACAGTCATATACTCTTTACACTAGAAATCACACCTTATATACCCATTAAAACCGGGTTTAGCCGCTCCTTCTTTTTTTCT